TAATGGTTGCTGTCGAGAAGTAATTTTCTGCAGTTGCACTTCAGTGATCGTTGTCGTCTAGAAGAGGTGGTTGTTGTCAAGATTTTAGAACAAGATTAATTGAAGGAGCCATCCTCGGGACAAAAGGCACAGAAGGGTGTGTATCGTATAAAGGTCGACCATTGCTCGAGGTTCATCCGAAGGCACAACTCATGTTTCTTTTAACTGTTTGTGATCAGGTATAAAAAATAAATCGCACACGCCAAACAGATCAGTGCATTTTCTGCACCAACGAATGAAGTCTTCGTCAACTTGTCCTCTTTTGATTTTAACCAAGTTGGATCAAGTACTGCCACAAGGGGCTTACAAGCTTAAGAATTGCATTATAAAGGATCTCACAGAGCGTTGGCCCGGTGAGGACCCGGAGTCACAAATCATTTAGATTTCATCGAGCCATGAGAGCAACGCACAAATCCTCGGAGAAGCTTCTGGTGATGCTACATGCGCTTCACTGATAAATGGTATTTCATCCATGGTTTTAAAAGGCAGTTAAACAAACTTGGAGAAGCAATGGAGGTAATTTGTCTCAGACTGATAAATCTGAAATTGAAGATTGGCTAAAGGCTTTTCTGAATGTCCATTAGGGGTTCAAACTAAGTAAACTTTGCGAAATTTCCGCCCTTCCCCGATGCTAATCAGATTGTAGAATATGAAGTCAAAGAAATTGCGAGAAAGAGTCCTGAGTAAAATGTAATGAAGGGTTTGGAACCTATGTTCCCTTACTACCAAATAAGCAACGAAGCCACATGTTTGGGAGAGGCAAATTTAGGGAGTTTCGCTGAGCCATTCTCAAATGAGGAATTTAATTGCAGATAAATTAAAAAAGTAAATAATGTCTCCCAAGTGAACTGCAGTTAAAGAAATTGCAAAGAATAACTTCGAATTGGTTATTTGTTAATTGATTTACAGGTCAAAAGGTGATTTACACAATTAGTTTGTAGTTACAGGCTTTGCTGAATTTCTGCTGTTCGCGTTAACTCGTGATGTTCTATTTTTCAGCTGCTTTACTTCCTTCTTTCACATATGGCCTATTGCAACTCTACGCGATCCTTCAGTAGTAGAGGTGATGAACTTTGTGACTGAAAGTCAGCAGTGCGCGGTAGACAAAAAGCTGAACTGACAATCAAGGCCTCAGCTGCCCGGGAACTGTCCAAATTCCTCAACTCCCTAGAACCTCAGCAATATTTTACTTCGTGGTCATTAGACAATGTATCAGACGTCGGGGAATTGGAAAGTGACAGAGGAAAATATTAAAAAAAGCATCAGTGAAACGACTTCAGGAGAAGATCGAAGGTTGGGAGATACAGATCATTGTTTTCTCAGAATCTCTCACTTTACTGACACAGAACCTGTTACGGTATTCCAAATGAGTTGAGCGACAGAATCAAAATGTCCAGAACTCACTTAAAGCGGATAGTGTAGCCAGCTCATCATCAACTGATCCAGCTTGAGAGAGATAGTCATTATCAGAGTTGCGGGTCCTATCTGGGTTCCCGTTGCTCCGGTAAATGGAACTATGGCTGCCAAAGAAAGGCTAGATAATCGGAGTTAAAAAAAAAAAAGTAAAAGAGAGACAAGTGCAAGTTCATGGCGGAAGCCTCTCAAGAATATCTTACAAAGATGGCTGACAGACAACAAGTTATGTCCCTCGTCGAGGAAGAGTTTAAAACTGAAAAATTCTTGTTACAGCAGAAACGCTTACAGCAAGATGTTAGAGATTTATACATGAAAACTTCAGATTTAAGAGGAAAGATGGCCGACTTTGGCATCAAAGAAGCAGGTACCATGGACATCAGTTGCGAGGACTTAGAATGGAAAGATGACCGAGGATCACCTCTCGGAAGTGGCTCTTTTGCTTCCGTTTATCGAGGAACCTCAAAGCTGCATGAGGAAGAGAAGCCCGTTGACTAGGCACTGAAAGTGTGAAAAAAGGCGCTGACTAGTGGCAGTGCAATAAGCTTCCTTTCTAAAACAGACACCCTAAGGTTAGCTTATGCAGTTTTACAGTTTTTTTTTCTTTGTTCACTGCTATGTTTAGTTCACCTTTACAATCTAATGGCCTTCACTGAGCACGAACTTGACACTCACCTAGTTCGCTGGCGAACTCACCCAGGATGTCAGAAAAAGGGACGGCGGAGCTTATTTTAGTTCAATTGAGGAGGCTTGAAAACGAGCGCCGGGGACGCTAGTTTGTAGAGGATCTGGGGCCGATTTCCTCCACAAATTTTGAAATACATTCCTCCTACGTACGTCATACAAAAAACAAAATAAAACAAGGGGCTAAAGTTGTTGTCGACTTCTGCTCACCCAAGTTTTCTGCGAATCCACTTGAGTTGCGGGCGAACTCACCTACGCTGTAAAAGAAAGTTGTAAACAAACCACTGACTCGGGTTGCGTGCGAAATCACTTAAAGATGTTACTGAAGTAACCTGACTTGCTACCGAGTTAACTTTGGTTGCCAGCAGACTCACTTATCCTAATTTGTTGGCGACTGAACCAACCTAACTTGTTAGCGAACCAAACTTAGTTGTCAGCAAACTTGGCTACTTGTTAACAAACCAACCTAAGTTGTTAGCGAACTAATCTGAGGTATTGGCGAACTCATCTGTAAGTTGTTAGCGGGCCCAACTAACTCGCTACCGCACCAACCTGAGTTATGAGTTGTAAGCGAACTGACTTAAGACTTAATTGACCGAACCAACTTGTGACGTTAATGAACTAGCTTAGGACTTCAAACGAAGTAATTGTGGGTCGGTTCCCAGAGTTATCGTTGGCTAATTCCTTAAGGTCTGGTAATTCGATTTCCCTGATGCTTTCTAACGGAAAGTGAAGAGTTCTGAGTTCCTCCCAGTGTGACCATTGTACTCTTTTCGTAAAGTGTTTTTACGGGTGTCATGTGTAGAGGTAATGAGCTACCGAGACTGGGACGACCAGCAAACAATTATTTCAGAGCTCGATTTCTTATTGTGCCTTTTTTAGGAAGCTGATTCATCCCCTCATTGCAAAGATGTACGGCGCAACACTTCTGAAGGAGAAGGGTGAATTGAGACCAATCCTTGTCATGGAGCTCTGCAAGGAGAACTTGATGAAGCACATTGTCCGAAATCAGGACAATGTATCTGGTCTCTCTACAAAAACTTCGGCTGCAAAAAAAGGTGATAGGATGAGCAAAAGACATTGCCAAAGCTTTGGAATTCATACATAATAAGGGCATAATTCACAGAGATCTCAAACTGGAAATACGTTGGTATGTAGGAGATAATTCGATGCGTGCACAGTGATTGAGTTCAAGGGTTCTTTCGTCCTCACACAACAGGACAATAGAAATAGCCTCTGTTGAATAGATGCTGTAATCACGATTTTTATCTATGTCAATGATAGGTAGGTGGGTGAGTGGCTGGATGGATTGATGGACTCGGATTCTGATGGACTCGGAATCTGAGTCTTACAGTCTCACACTATGCACGACAGACTAGTCACCTGATACAATAACTTATTTTATAAAGGGGGTAAGGTTCTAAAGAAACTCTGGTGCTGCGTGAGTGAGAGAGTAAACCAGGGTAATTTAGTGTTATCAACTGAGTTGATAACGTAAATTGACCACCCTAAAGAGTTATAAGGCTGACGTTTTAGCCCTTCGTCAGAGCGATTGACGAAGGGCTAAGTTCACCGATGCAGCAGCACAGTTTCTTTAGACACTTACCCCCTTTATTCATTTGTCTTTTAATTGCTGCGACCACTAACTCTTGCCTCAGAATTTTTTCAATCCAGTCGCTCTGACGAAGGGCTAACGCTCGAACGTCGGCCTTTTAACTCTTTACGGTGGCCAATTTAGGTTATAAACTCAGTTGAAAACACTAAATTACCCTGGTTTACTCTCCCACTCACGCAGCATACCAAAGAAATTAATACTTGTATATGTCATTCGTTACATTTGAGCAAGAAATGAAAAATGAAAATAGTTACTCGCACTTTGGCCCTCGGCCCTTTTTCAATTAGCTCCATTCCTAGCCAAAGGGACGAGGAGGCGTCTTTTTTTTTCGAGCAACAGAGAATTCTGGGTAGATCTCACCCTGACAACCAAACGACATGACGTACTGTGCTTTACAGGCATGATACTTCTGTGACGATCCACGTGGTACAGGGTTCCAACAAGGGAATATAGACTGTTTATATTCTGCTTGTTCTAATCAGTAAAAGAAATGACATTACGAATGAATAAAGTAAACAAAAACACAAGTCAGCAGCGATAAAGAGAGAAGACAAGCAAAACTTGAGCGCCATCAGAGTCTCGCCTTGAAATATCGATTTGCCTAACCTCAATTTTTGAGGACCTGCGATTTTTGGGATATAACGCTCCTCTTTGACAAACATTATAAAAAGACTAGCATTGATTGTAATCAACAAAACGTTATTCCCTGTAACTTTCTCTATGTACCTATATCTATATTTGAATAATTCTTCTCGAAATTTACCTATTGCGTGACTAGTCACGCTGACTGCCAGAAAAGCTCGGACAATGCCGACAGTGACAGGGATCTGTGTCAATGCACTATAGTAATCAGACCCCCTGTGTAAATTGGACTGTGATAAATGAAACAAAGGTTTTGGTTTTTCCTTTTTCGCAATTCTAAAAGCTTTCTTAATCTTGAAACTGATGAAATTTTGATCATAACCGTTCAAGTTATCGATTTGCAACATGAGTGCATTACTAGACATTGACAAGATCGACGACATCATGGAGATGGCAAACACAATGGCGACACTTAAAATTCCGTCCAAAGGGCTGAAAACGTTGGACCAAATGAAAGCAAAAGTGAAAGAGACACTCCAGTCGTCAGAGAAGAAGTCAAGTTGGACGGCAAAGGAGGTGAGAACCCTACTATATCTTTTTAAAATATGGACAACCAGCAAATTCAATTTATAAACGACATTTTCAGCACAATGGCGGAATTATCTAGATGTGACCTTTAATAAATGGTAGACGCAGACCATATCGTGAAATTCAGTAACGAATTGTTGAACAATCTCTTCATGCTAACTGAGTTATCGTTTGCGATTTTATCCCATGGCGATCCATTCAATGATGGCATCTCAGAAATGATTAGTACTGGAAGAAATCTTATTCTCGTGGACGGAAATCGTTGCACTCGTCATTCACTCGCCAAATGTTTCTCTAAGTTCACAGTACGTAGAGCAATCTAAAAGGCAGCTAATTACTTATTGATACTTCCATAAACGATTCTTACAACTGGGTGTCAGCAAAATGATTAAAAATACGAAATTGGAAAGTTTTGCTTCTATTGTAAGAGTTTATCATGCATACCGCTGTCGTTAATTTAGTAGGCTTCGTTGAGCAACGATCGTGCTTTGAGGGTTCAAGT